TAAAAGTTTTAACCTACATAACTAGCCCTGACTGTCTGAACAGCACACCCACAAGTTCCAATGATGGAACCACCCTAATTGTACCCTATAAAACCAAAATCCCCTCTGTAACTGGTAGCCATTTTTGCATTCAGAAAATGAGTCCCCAAGGTGCCCAAATCTGTGAAGAAAAATAAACAGCTTCCCTGAATCTGTGACCCATGCTTTCTTTCTTTCTTTTTATTTTTTGTGGTGTTAGGGATTGAACCTTGAGCCCAGGGCCTTGTGTACATGCGAGGTAAGTACTGTACTAACTGAGCTATAACCCCAGCCCCAGGGCCCATGTTTTTAAAACATGAACTTTCTGGGGGACATTCCAAATCCAAACTATAACATACCCCTAACATCCTATTTGCAGGGAGGAGGATTTGGGACTTGGATCTCCTGTCTCCATGCTTGGCTGCCTTATGAATGAACTCTTTCTCCAACAAAACTTGTTTGAGTGATTGGTTTACTGTGAGGAGCACAAGAGAGGCCTTAGTTTGGTAACAGAAACTTGAGCCAAAACAAACCTTTTTGCTTTGCAAATTATTTAGCCCTTAGGTATTTAGTTACAACAACACAGAATGGAGCAAGATGGGCTGGCTACAAGTATTTTTTTTTAATTGAGTTAAAGTTCACAAAACAGAATTAGTGAAAAATTTGGAAGCATTTAACATATTTAGAATATTGTGCAACCATCAACGCTATTTAGTTTCTTTCTTTCTTTTTTTTAATGGTGCTGGGAATTGAACCCAGGGCCTTATGCATTCAAGGCAGGCACTCTTCCAACTGAGCTATATCCCTAGCCCTATGTTTAGTTTCATGATATCTCAAAAGGAAAGTGATATTCATAATGCACTTACCTTCCCTTGCTCCCCATCACTTTCTATCTCTATGGCTTTACCTATTCTGAACATTTCATCTAAATGGAACCATATAATAGGTGGTCTTTTGTGTCTGGCTTCTTTTACTTAATGTAATGTTTTAGAGGTTCATTCATGTTGTAGCATATATTGGGACTTCATTTGTTTTTATGGCTGAACAATATTTTATGATGTGACTGTGCCATTTTGTTTATCTGTTCATCTATTGATATCTACTGATGCACATTTGGGGTTGTTTACACCTTTTGGCTATTGTGAATAATGCTATTACTATAAATGTTCATATTTTTTGAACATCTATTTTCTTTCTTTCTTTTTTCTCTTTTTTTTTTGGTACTCTGGGTTGAACTCAGGGGTGCTTAACCACTGAGACACATCCCCAGCCCCTTTTTTTATGTTTTATTTTGAGACAAGATCTGGCTAAATTGTTCAGGGCCTCTCTAAGTTGCTGAGGCTGGCTCTGAATTTGTGATCCTCCTGCATCAGCCTCCTAGGCACTGGGATTATGGGCATGAGCCACTGTACCTGGTTTGAACATCTATTTTTGATTACTTTGTGTCAATATACTCAAGAATGGAACTATTGAATCACATGGTAATTTTGTCATTCCTTTTTGCCTCTTTTCTCTCTTTTTAAAAAAGTATTTATTTGTTTTTAGTTGAACACAATACTTCACTCATTTATTTCTATGTGGTGCTGAGGAACGAACCCAGGGTCTCGCACTTGTGAGGCAAGTACTCTACCACTGAGCCGCAACCCCAGCCCCTCCTCTTCTCTTTCTTTTTTTTTTTTTCCAGCACAATATTGGAAATTAAACCTGGGGAGCTACATTCCTAGTCCATTCATATGGTAATCACATTTTACCTTGGGGCAAGACCAAACTGTTTTTCAATATTTATTATTATTATTTTAGTTTTTTTTTTTAAAGAGAGAGTGAGAGAGGAGAGAGGGAGAGAGAGAGAATTTTTAATATTTATTTTTTTTAGTTCTTGGCGGACACAACATCTTTGTTGGTATGTGGTGCTGAGGATCGAACCCGGGCCGCACGCATGCCAGGCGAGCGCGCTACCGCTTGAGCCACATCCCCAGCCCCGACCAAACTGTTTTTCATAGTTGGGGCACCATTTTGTATTCCTGGCAGTGGTATAGAAGGATTATAATTTCTTGGGGCTGGGGATGTGGCTCAAGCAGTAGCGCACTCACCTGGCATGCGTGCGGCCCGGGTTCCATCCTCAGCACCACATACAAACAAAGATGTGTGTCTGCCAAAAACTAAAAAATAAATATTTAAAAAATTCTCTCTCTCTCTCTTTAAAAAAAAAAAAAGGATTATAATTTCTCTACATTTTCTCACTCCTTACATTCTAGTCAATGTGGAGTGATATCTACTATGGTACAAACTGCTTTCTGATTTGGCAGTGGCACTGTTGGATTTACATGGAGATCTCCTGGTTTTTTTATTTATTTACTTTTGTAACAATTCCAATGCCCAGATTGTACCTGGGGCTAATTCCATGAGATGATAGTACTGGGACCCAAGCAACTGCAGTATGTTTTAAAGTCCCCCAGTGGTTCCAGTGTGCAGCTGAAATTGTGAATTGTTTTGTAAAAAATCCAAGCCCTCCTTTCAGTTACACACTCCTTTTAATCAAAATTTTAAATACTGTAGTGTTTAAAGAGCTGGGTGAGTCCCACTTTCATCTGGAAAAATGGCGGGGGAGTGATCCAGACTTTTGTGGGCCATTCTAACCCTAATAGCTAATGCCAAGTTTTTAAGAGGGGAAGTGATTTCATCACAGCTGCACTGGAGGCTGGGAGGTGGAATGTCTCCTAGGGTCCCAAGTGAAATGGTGAAAAAGCAAAAAAGAAAACAGTAAAACAAAAGGTTACTAGCTTTGATGGCCAGGGCAGCTGCTAAGAGCTGCTAACCCTCCCCCATTCCCATCCCCTCCTTCACAAGGAAGGTTTGGGACAGAAGCATAATGGACAGTCTCCTAGTGGTTCAGTGGATGTTTCTTGTAAGTAAAGCAGCTCCTCTACTGCCACCACCATCACCATCACCTCCTTTTTTTTCTTAATTTTTTTTTTTTTTTAGTTGTAATGGACACGATACCTTTTTTTTTGTTTATTTAATTTGTTTATGTGGTGCTGTGGATCAAACCCAGTGCCTCATGCATGCTAGTCAAAGCGCTCTACCACAGAGCCACAACCCCAGCCCCATCACCTCCTTTTTAACAAAGGGCACTTTTCTGTTTTTTGACTTCTCCCCAGTTGGTAGTCACTGTGGCTAACAGCTCAGGGCAGTAAGGGCACATTTGAAAGCAAGTTTTAGGATAGGAGTAATGCTTAACACTAAGTAGCATTTTGCTAAGCAAGTTGCTTATGGTTTTTTACTCTAAGCTTTTTTTTTGGGGGGGGGGGAGGGTGGGGGTTACCAGGGATTGAACTCTGTGTAGCTTGGTCACTGAGCTACATCCCCAGCTCTATTTTTAGAGACACAGTCTCACTGAGTTGCTTGGGGCCTCACTAAATTGCTGAGGGTGGCTTTGAACTCCTGATCCTCCTGCCTCAGCCTCTGAGCTGCTGGGATTCCAGGCGTGCACCACCTTGCCAGGCCTGAATGGTTTTTAAAAACTCTACTTTTTTATGGCTGATTAGTTAATGGCAAAGCATCTCGGGATTTTTCATCTGTTTATTTTATACCTTGCAGGAAACAAAGTGAGGTATAGGTGATGGGCATAGGGTTTCAAGCCTGAGTTGAGGTAGCAGTCCCAGTCTGAGGGCTGCCTACACTGCCCCAACATGAGCTGCTGAGCTGGACCAGCTACATAATTTTCAGGCCCATTGCAAAAGGAAAACACTGGGTTCCAGGTTCAAAAATTCTTGAGAATTTCAAGATGGCTACAGCACATAATTAACCAAGGGCAGGCTCCTTCTGAGAACTTGGCCCACCCTGATGCTGTGTGGGGAGAGGCACATCTGAGGCCTGTGGGGCCTACTGCCCCTGCAACATACAGAAGGGGGACAGCTACATTCCAATGACCTGACTCCAGAGGAATGGTAAGAACTGGAGAACATCCCAGAAAGAAATAGGAGTTGCAGGCTCACATAGAGATACTGAAGGGTGAGAAAGCCAAATATATTGCTAACAAAATTGAGGATTTGTGCTCCACAGAAGTAGAGCAGAGTAACATACAGTTGGCCATGGGTAGGAAAAAAATTAACACGGTTGCTGAAAAAGGATTCAGCTCTCATTAGAGAACGGTCTGTTGAAGAACACTCCTGAAGACATTGCCTGGTTTGCTGAAGGACTCAGCAAAACAGCCCTTAGGACCTGACTCCAGGACAGAGGAGTTTCAAATCCAGGTTCTTGGTGCTTTTGTGGAAGCATATGAGTTTAGTGATCTAAATTTTGTTTAGCTGTTCACAGCAATTCCCTGTGGTTCAGAAAGGCACCTGAGCCTGCTGGATGGTAGAGGCATTTGCCCAGGGATATTTGTCAGTCATATCAAGGAGAGTTTTAGTCCACAGACAATTCTGTTCTCTGTGATCTCATTTTGTTTAGTACTAGCTGTAACCTCAATGTAAAAAAATAAGCCCACCACAGAAAGCCCATTGCCATGAATAGAGGCACTAGCAATGGAAAAGTCTTGCTGGAGAAGGAGCTCCCAAATCTGCAATTGCCCACCCCAAACTTAGCAACAATGTTATCTTCTTACTTTCTTCTCTTAGCTCCCCATTCTGACCTCAAATGTAAAGCAGACCTTGGTTAATAATAATGATAATAATAATCCTAATGAGTTTAATTGTCGCATTTTAAGAAAAAGGCAAGCTGTACTTAAGACTTCAGAGGTGGATCCTAGCATTTTATTTTTTTGATTGGCCGAGAAATAAAAGGGGCCTTGGCTTGGAGGGAGGCATATGGGGAAGTGTATGGGGTGGGAGGTGGGGGGTGGGGGGTGGGCCCCCCCCGGAAGTCGTGCTGCGCTGTTTAAACCTAAGGTGACCTAACGGATGGCGGGAGCGCCGGCCTGAGCCTTGGCGCAGGGCGCGGCCATTGGTGACGCACGCTGGGGAGCAAGGCGCCCACGTTTCCACCATTAGTGAGGCCTCACACCCCGCGCTGCAAGTTCGGGGCTGGAGGCGTCCCGGCTCCCTCCCTCCTGGAGGCGGGCCCGGTCCCGCCCCCGCGCTCGGGGTCGCTCCCAGCGGCCCCGCCCACCTCCTACTCCTGGCCTCCCCCGGCGCAGCTCACTCCCCGCCGCCCGCAGCCTGACACGCCGCGCGGCCCCCCAGTCTTCTGTGGCCGCCTCCCCCAGGCATGGCACAGGGCCTCTCCTCACTATGGCAGCAGCAAGGCACAGCACCCTGGACTTCATGCTCGGCGCCAAAGGTGAGGGCACCAGGCGCCACCTGCCCGGCCCTGGCGCTGCTGTCCCCGCCGCCCTCGCCACCCTTTGGGCTGGGGCTGGAGCTGGGGCCGGGGCCCGGGTCGGGGCCAGGCGGGGCGCGCGCGGCGGGCTGAACAATGCGGGCGGCCCGCGAGGCGCCGGCGTCTCCCAGGCTGCCGCGCCAGGCGCGCTGCGGGGCCTCGTGCACTGGCGACCGGGCGGAGGCCGCACTCTTGCTAGCGCCGCGCCCCTGTTCGCTCCGTGCTCTGTCCCGGCCGCAGTGCGGGGCCTAAAGGGGCCGCGTCGGGTGTCCGCCTGCCTTACCGCCCTTCCGGGCCCTGACCGTTCACCCGCTCCCTAAGAGGGCTCCTTTCCCCTGCGCTTCACCAGGAGATCCGTTTCAGGCTGCTGGGAGCTGTCTGATCCCCGCTGGGGCGGGGGTGCTGGAGCGCGTTTGAGCCTTAGCGAGGCGTGACCTGTACCGCAGGCCTGGGCTCGGGGCGTGCGCGGCGCGAGGCTGCCCTCGCCACCTTTTCCTGTGCTTGCCGGCGGGTAAATTTCCCTCGTGGGGGCGGGGGTTTCCCCTCTTGGGGTGCTCTGGCTGGAGAAGGACCACAGCCACGCAGCGCTTGAAGGATTCTTAGCCGACTGCGTAGAAGACAGATCCCCCGGAAAGGGACAGGGGGGATGGGAAAAGGAAGCGGTTATTATTATTGGGGGTGGGGAGGGATGAGGTCCGGGCGCGGGAATTATAACTCCCCTAATCAGAGAGGCTCAGAAGGCAAAGCTGGCCACACCGGAGAGGGCTGAGAAAGTCGGAACTGTGTGCAGGAATTTTGAAGGGGAGGGGTGCTTTGCTGGCTTCTTTTCTTTGGGCACCTCCAACATGGGGGTGGGGGCGGGAGGGATGGGACTGCCTGTTCTTTTTCTGGTGGCCTTTAAGCCTGTAACTGCTGCGGACTTGCATCTGCACTTTCCGTGTGCCCTCCTTGGAGTGTATCTCCGTACCTTGCGTTTTCACTAATTAAATGGAGCAGCCTTTTCTGTTACTATTTCTTTTTTTTTTTTTTTAACACAGAACTTACTTTCTGAACTTCTGAGGATCCACTTTGCATTTTCTTCAAATCTAAAGGACCTCAGATGACACAAGATTTAATAAAACTGAGGATTCAGAGCAACACCTAGGTTTGATCCTGCTTTTCCTGATTGGCTCTGCATGTGAACTTGGGTTTATTTCTCAGCCTTTCTAAGCCTCATCTTCCGTGTGTGTGTGTGTGTGTGTGTGTGTGTGTGTGTGGTGGGGGGTGTACAGAAGGGACAGTGCACAACTCATAGAACTCTCCTAGGGCTTTTATTGTTAAGGATCTAGCTGTAAACTAGAATTGTTAAGCAATACCAGTCAGTGTGTTTGGGTGGTCAGAAGTGACTTGGAGAAAATAAAGCATCTTAATTCCCACATTTCTTAAGTGAGGACAGAGGGATGGAAGACTTGCTGGGGAGAATCTGAAGATGAAATAGTGCTTGGGTGGTGGAGATGGAGGAGATATGAGATCGCTAAGGTTTTGCTGAGAATTACCCTGTCAGCTTTTGGGTTAAGTCATTAATGGAGGTTCTAGTATACTCAGTTGAGTGGTGAGGAGGAAGAAGCTTTATGGAGAAATTGTGGTTGAAAGGATCACGGTCACCCACCAGTAAGGGCTGAGTCTGGGAAGTGTTCCTGATGTAAGCACCTTGGGAACACTCGCCTATATTTGTGCAGCATGGTTTCCTCCACACTGCTGGCTGTAAGGAGAGTGGTCTCAGTATGGCCTGTGGATTTTACATTTCCTCAGTCCTTTCTAGAGTCTTAAACCTCCTTCAGCTTAATCCAGGTATTGCTTCCTGAAATGCTGACACAACAGGCTACTTCTGTCTGTTGTGGTGTCCTGCAAGTGGGGAAAAGCCTTCCCATGACTGCAGGAAGAAAAAGGGAGAAAAATTTCAGTGCTTTGAGCTGACACTGGTTAGAGAGGGAGAGAAAACCATGGGTGCACAGTTTGGAGGGGAGGAGAGAAACTGGCAGGTTCTAAATTGTTGAGGTGGTGTGGATGTGACATTTAAATGTAGTTGTGCAAAGAAAGTAAAATGATGGGTGATAAAAGGGTGTGTGTGTACACATGTAAAGCAGGATAGAAGGCTCTTAAGACAGAAAGATCAAACATTAGCTATTAATATTTTAATTCCCAGTGTTGTTAATCAGAGATAAGAAAACTTTTATGGCAAAGTGAAGAACATTCTAGAATAAATAACTGTGTGTGAGGGGGGGAATATATGTATATGCATCTATGTCAGATCTTGAGTTCTTACATAAATGTTCTGGGAGGAAATTGATTCTTACTGTATTTCTGCCCCAGTCATTTCATTTGGTGTGAAGCATTTCAGCCTTTCTGTCCAAATCTACATTTGGAAAATGAAGAGATCTGGCTAGATCAGGCTCTTCTAAATTCTTTTCCCTTTCAATGAGGGGTACTTGGTGAGAAATCCACGTGTGAGGTCTCCATAAACATTTATTTTAATTGATGATAATGAGTCAAAAGGCATTACTCTTGGCATGTGAATATTGGATGTGACTCAAGGGTGAGTCAAATGCCTGTGGAGCCTGGATTCATGTTCTTTTTTTCCCATTTGTCAGTAATCCTTCCTAATGCTGTAGTTCCATGATGTGATTTTAGTGGAATTAAACTTGAACCACTTAGGTATGTTATTATGTTGCGATTCTGTATAGCTTAGTTAAGGATGCAAGCCTTAGTACCCAGATACTCAGACCACCAAGAGAAATGGTAGGTAGGGCCCGGTGGTGGTGTTTAGTGTTCTGGCTGATGAGATAACTCAGAAAATTATTTTTGCTAAAAAGAACAAAATAAAAATAAAATTGAAAAAAAAAACTCTCATATTTGATCATTTTGTAAGTAAAGTATTGGATTATGAGGACTCTTGAGCCCAGAAAACATTTTGAGATTTTTTTCATCCTGAGGTTAACAAGAATAAACTCATTTCCATGTCTCTATAGTTTAGGCATATCTGAGTTAGTAGAGGACACATGCTTTGTTCCTGGTCCTTTATACCCCATATACAGAAGTGAGTGAGGTGCCCTTTGGAGAGAAGTCTCTAGGTGGCTAGACAGCCCTGGAAAGTTCTACAATTGTACTTTTATCCCCATTTCGTTCCCTGGGCTGGCCATATCTTCACAAAGACAGATGTCTGGGGTTTGTATCCTGGACACAGTTCTGATACATGATAGATGTTTGGTAAATTATGATTAAATGGATTAAATTTATTTTACAATAATGGTGGAATGATGATTCACATCCATCAGGGGACAGCCAGCACACATTTCCCTTTTAGAATTTTTTTGGGGGTATGGGGGACTGAACTCGGGCACATGACCACTGAGCCAGATCCCCAGCCCTATTTTGGGTCTCACTGAGTTGTTTAGCACCTCACTTTTGCTGAGGCTGGCTTTGAACTCCATCCTCCTGCCTCAGTCTCCCAAGCCGCTGGGATTACAGGCATGCCTACTGTGCCTGGCTAAAATATAATTTTCAAAATAAAAAATCCCGAAATGTGATATATAACATATGCTGCTTTACTAACACAAAACAACAAGGTGTTATCAGCAGGGCTAATAATTTATGTAATTTTGAAGTAGAACTGTACAAAATCAGCATTTTAGCTATAATGTATGTGATATGAAAAATCTGTCATTTAATTGGCAATAATGGCCAGGAATAGTTAATGTATAGTTTTTGGCCTCCAAGTGCAAGTGAAAAAAATGTTGAATTTTAGCTAATGAAAATAAGAAAGTGAGCTGGGCATGCTGGGGCACACCTGTAATTCCAGCAGCTCAGGATGCTGAGACAGGAGGATTTTAGGTTCAAAGCCAGCCTCTGTAAGAATGAGGCGTTGGGCAACTCAGTGAGACCCTGTCTCTAAAAAAAAAATACAGAATAGTTCTGGGAATGTGGCTCAGTGGTTGAGTGCCCCTGAGTGTAGTCCCTGGTTACCCCCCCCCAAAAAAAAATGTGTATTTTTTCCCACCCAGATTTACACATTCCCATAATTGGATCTCCTGGTCCCTTGGGAGTCTTTGAACTCAGATTTAGACCCCAGGCCCAAATGAGAGAACTGGGACTGCCCTTTCATAGCCAATGATCATATTGTAATTTTCTTACGTGGAGTAGGTTTCTACCCAGGTTAGCACTAAAAGCAGATATGTCTGATTCTCCTTCAAAGCATGTGTTTAGGAGTAAAACACACATTAATTGCCACTGGGACCAGACTTTGCCCTAATTGTATTACACATGAATTTAGGTAATTATCCCAACTGTATGGTAGGTCAACTTGTCCCCATTTTAAAGATGAACAAATAGTTCCATTGAGATTTTTCAACTTTTAAGTGATATGGAATTCAAGGCGATGACTACTTGATTACAAGGCCTTTGCCACTTATATAACTGGGAAACCTCTTAGTTTAAAAACATTCACCTTCAATGGAGGTGTTCCATCAACCCCTACCCTCTGGGGGGACATTTGACTGTTTGAGGAGACATTTTTGGTTGGCTAAACTGAGGAGTAGAGATGGTATTCCACTCTAGTAGGTGAAAGCCAGGGATCCTGCTCAACATTTTAACAATGTCCAGTAGAGACCCTCACAGCATTGATAGCCCAAAATGTTAATACTGCTCAGATGATGTAACCCTTCTTTATGTTCTGATTAGGTATTTCAGTAATCTGGTTGACAAATCATCAAAATTAACCTGGTCCTTTTTGGAAGTCTCCAGTACAAAGTAAGTTGTTAGGGAGGGAGGATGGCTCCTACTTCCTCCAAAGGTATTAGGAACCCATGGCTTGGCCAGCACTTACTACCCAGCCCGGCCTGTGGCTTGAGGTGACCTGTCTACCCTGATTTCCTGAACCATTAGCTCATCCAGCAAGCTCCCCTTCTCTGTATTTGGTGAGCTGC